TCAGTCCGTGTTTGGACGGGTTATCACATTAAAAAAAAAAAAAAGTTTCGATTCTTTAGAATCTTTAGACGGAAGTTATCATGCAAAAGCTTTCAAATAAAAATGAGGTGCAAGGAAATAAGCAATGTGAACAGCAATGAACCAGATTACAGCATCTCACAGAAGATCAGATGTCAATGAGCAGAAACTGAAAGCAGAAATCAAAGCGAGATCACACCAAATAGGAGCGAACAAAGCAGCGAAGTCTCTTGATTATTAAAGCCCTCCGAACGCCTCCAACCATCTATACGACAACCACGTAGCCCACCTATGTGTGGTTATCTGCCGATGATACTAACAGAATGTCACTCCTATCAGCCTCACCCACTCAAGCTACAACAGGCTTCACGTGTCATCGGCCCAATGCCGCTTATGGACTCTGATTAAACAGCCTGCCTTCGTCAACACCAGGTACGTCCCTCGTCACACTGCCCTCATCTCCTTCGTCTTCCCCACAGCCCTTCTCGTTCCAAAGGACCTCTGCAGTTCGTCCACCGCTCAGCTTGGCTATGGCTGCCAGACCCCCTTCTTCCTCGCCGCCACCACACAGCTCCCACTCGAGCCCTGACGCCCTGCAGATGCTCGTGCAGCGCTGCTGCATTGCCTGAATCCCCGACTGTGTCCTTGGCTGCGCCCTCCAGTCTTTTGTGCTGGCTGGAGAGGCCCAGCTGCCTCTGGCCGGGCTGCGCCCATTACCTATTTCTTGCACCCTGGGCCCTGCCAGAATCTGCACGAGGCCCAGCATCTCCAACTAACTTGTGGGCTGGGCCTACCGGTTGGTTGAAGATGTGCTGCACGCGTTGACCTGGGGCCCCCATTTTTGCTCCCATTGGCCTGTACCTAGGAGAGGGGCTCATTTTTGCAGGCCTGCCTTTCCAAGCATACCAAGGTCCTGAATCCTCGCGCTCCGTCCTCCTAAATTTTGAAAGTCCTCTTAGAAATTTTCCATCAACTGGCTGTTTCCCCTCAACGTGCGCTCATGCTGAGCAACAACCTGAGGCGCTGTCTTCATCAGCTCTTCTCGTGTGTGAACCTACCCCCGATCCTCTGCAGGATCCAGGTGATGTAGGAAAGGCTACCCTGATCCTCCTCAGGATCCCGGTACTGCATCTGCGGTTTGGCCGGTCTTCCTTTGCTTGTTGGCTTGGCAACTGGCATCACCCGGTGCTCGACAATCTGGTCGATGTCCACGTAGCCATCCATAGTTGGGGCCACAACATTGATCTCTGCGAGGGAAATTGATCAGTTTGTTTTCAGAGAAAGGTACGATTTCTGAGGCATGAAAGACTGGGTATGATGTGTGTGAGGGGGGATGCGAATGGCGTATGAAGGGCCATCAGGATCAGAGCCCAGCATGTCTTATACCGCTAGTACACGGCCCCGGCCTTGCAGAAAGTTTTTTGTCGCCACAAGCAAAACTCGGAGGCGCCATGCGGCCGGGCCCGCTGTTGAAAAAAAAAATCGGCGGCCTCCGAAGTGACGAGGGTTTCATGCTGACACCCGCGGGCGATATGTGCTGTACTGGTGCTTTAAGATATGTCAATTCTCTGGAATACTGTGTAATGAGTTTCCGTGAGACATCGTGTTCCGGTTCGGACTCGGAAGACTTTACCCAGACTCTTTCTCCTATCTGAAACTTAGATGGCAGCGTCTATGTTTGTTCTCAGAAGCTGTATCAGGCATTCTGAGATCTCTGTATCTGTTCTACCGTCTGCTGCAGCATGGATTCATACTGTATCCCCGTATTCTATGCTTCCTGGTGCTGCAGTAGGTTGAGAATCATGCAGCAAAAGGCCCAATGACGTTATGGGTTTCCATCCTAAGTGCAGCTGATTGAGAGCCTGGCCTGTAGCACCACACATTGCGTTGTTGTTGTACAGACTGGCTATATGAGAGAGAACTTCTTATCCCAGTCATCCTGGCTTGGCTTAATATAGTGCCTAAGCAGTTGCTGTACTACCTACCCGGTTCATCTGTTCAGCATGTCCGTTAGTCTCTGGATGACATGGTTTCTAGATGTCATCTGAAGGTCAGATCCCATCTGCTGAGAGGTCTTCTTCGGCCACAACTCACTGCTGAAACACACATCTCTGCGGCTCACGATCGATTTAGGCAGTCCGAACTCCTTTACCTACCGTTAGTGATATGAGAACTTGCTGATAACTAAGTCTGTCTTAGCTGTTGCAGGAAGAGGTACGCTCTGGTAGTCTGGCGCACTTAGGGAATCTATCTATAATCACAAAAACTTGTCTGTTCCCGCTCTTACTACCGTCTTCACCCGAAAATAACAACTGGGCGTTGTATACGAATATCACCTGACGGGCGTTATATTCATTTATAAATTATAACACCTGGCTGTTATATTTGGTAAATTGGTGGCAACTTCAGCAGGGGCCCAAAATTCTGGAAAAAAAAAAATTCAAAAACTTCTGTGAAAACAAAATGTTGTCCAGAATTGCAATTCGACCAACTTTTGGCTGAGCGTCACTTCAGAATTCCTTATACCACTAGTACCTCCGAGCCTATTTTCGACGAGTTCTTCCCAGCTCCCAAACTTTGAGGAGGCCGAGCCCGACAACGGCTGCCGTTGATAAATCTGATCGGCGGCCGTCGTTTCGTTTCGGCCTCCTGAAAGGTCGGAGGCCGAGTATTTTCGAACCGACAAAGGTACTAGTGGTTTTAAAAGCGGAAAAAAAAAAAAAAAAAAAAAAAAAAAAAATCAAACTGAAATATACTGCTTGGAAGTCAAAACCCCTTTCAACCCCCTTTAAAACCCATGTATACCCCCCCTCCCCGCCCTTTCAAACGCATGTGTACTATCTCCACAAGGCACTCTGCCCATGGAACATTCAAATATAACGCCCAGGCGTTATATTTGAAGGGGCATTCTATTTGAAAAAAAGTGCGTAAAAATAAAAATCTGATCTTTTTAGGGTAAGTTAAATGAGTATAACACGCGGGCATTATTTTCGGGTGAAGACGGTAGTTGCAAGGATGTCCATGAAGTCCATGGGCAACGAATCTGGCTAGCAGGGATAGGAAGTGGCTTTAGTAAGCCTAGATGTGGCATATTGTGCAGCCACACGGGCCTGCAGGGCCCAACCAGACGGAAAATAAGGGCCCTCCAGGCCCTGTGTCGTTTCAGCCTAAAAGCCTGAAAACGAGGGCCATTTTCAGGCCCTCATCAAG